TCCTTCTAAATATAAAGTGCATATAGTTAAGAAAAGCACTGTCAACAGCACAAACTTGAACAGGCAGAAATAAAATAAGCTTGTCTCGGTTAGGAGGTCTTTGTACTACATCTTGTGGAGGTTATTGTTTCCTTTGTTCCCCCTAGTTTTTATTTTTATTAGTACATACTTACAGTGCATGATAATTACATTCCTTGTGGAGCACTGGTACACATGCATAGCACATCTTAATTCTTCTCTCATCTCCTTTTTCTCTCCTCCCGCCCCCTTTCTCTATTTCTTGACCCCCTTTTATTGGAAAAGGACCTCTCTCCCTGCTATTTCCTACCATCTATCACTTATTTTGCTCTTTATTTGTATTTTGGGTTTCTCATATAAGTGAAATCATGTGATATTTAAGCTTTTGTGTCTAATTTATTTTACTTAACATTATCGTCTCAAGATACATCCATTTTCCTACAAATGACTCGTTTATTTTTCTTTAAGGCAGAATAGTATTCCGTTGTGTATACATTTTTAATCCATTCATCTATTGATGGACATATAGGTCACTTCCAAGATTTAGGTATTATGAATTGTGCCGCTACACATACAAGTATGCATATGTCACTGTAACATGTTGTTAACTTTTTTGAAAATATTCCTAGAAGGGGAATAGCTGGGTCTACTGGAGTTTCTACTTTTAGTTTTTATTTGTTTTTGGCCAGCACATGTAGGGCTTAATGCTACAAAAATTTCTATTATACAATATAAATTTCAGAATTGGTTATTGTAGTGAAAATTTGTTTATTCTAGAGACATCTGGGAATGTTGATCTGTGTCCCCTAGGAAGCGATATAGCCATTAACCCCTTTATGTGGAAGATCACTCTCTAGTTTGTTAAAATACCCAGCACTTTCTCTGGTCTATCATTGGCTTGAGTGGCAGTTGTCATTGTCATTGTATCTGTGGTCTTGCTTTCCATGCTCATGTGCATTACCTGTCTGACCCTTGCAGCCACTGAAATGTGTGTTAGAAGGTGAGAGGGTGAAACTACCCCTTAATTCCCAGAAAAACAAAAAGTGCAGGGGAATAATTTTCAGTGACTTTTCAAACAAGGTAGCTTCCTAATGGTGACTCTTTAAGTTTAAAATTGGTAGTTCCATGCTATTATCAAAATGTATACATATGTCATGTTATACATAGCTCAAGTTTGTCTGATATGGGCATTCAGGTGAAGAAAACTGCTTACTACCTTGTAATTCTGATGTGGTGAGTGACAGGTGCCCAACTCATAGATGTCTACATGTCTACATTTTGTTTTTTCCTCACAGCTTATTTTTTAACGTTGAAAGTCCTAGTTTTCTAACTATCATTTAGTCATCCTTTTCTACATTTTATTTTTTGTGGTGCTGGTGATTGAACCCAGGACCTTCATGCATGTCAGGTACTCTTCTACCTAGCTACATATACAGCCCTCTATCACATCAAAGAACTTTACAAAAATGGTCTTTTACAATTCTAAGCTTTCAAATGAGCCAACATACACACACACACACACTCCTATGTTTTTTGTCTTTTCACAAAAGTCAAATTTTGTTGTTGATCAATCTCCATTAACAAATTTTAAATATTCCATCAGACTAAAATATAACAAGCCACATTCCTGTCCTTCCCTCATTTTCTCACAATGCAGTTTTTTTCTCAAACTCCCACCAGTCTTCAAACTAAGTGAAGTCCTAGTAGTTTTAGGATAAATTACTGCTTTTGTACCCTGGGTCTAGTAGTTCCTAGCCCTGACACAAAGACACCTCAAGGACAAATGAACATTCTCTCTTTTGCAACTTTCCTTCCCAAAGTTCTGAAACAACTGAGAAGGCAAAAAAACCCTGGAGAATTGTTTCTCCTGTCCTTCCTCAAGTGTTTTTGGCATCTTCTTATAAACTTTTTGAATTGATCATCAAAATTGAGAAATGATTTCTTTATATGTTACTTTGTATTGTATTATCAGGAAGGCAAACTTCTATAAAAACGAGGCTCCCAAGCATATCTCGAGCACTACATGTGGTTTTTTTCTTGTTCACTTTAGATGTGGGTGAACAGGCTTGTGAAAGGCTCCTCCAGTCAGGTAAATACCTGACCAAAATGGGCAGAGTCTATACCAACTTCAGAATACAACTTCCAAGGTTTCCTTGTAGGTTGCCTCTATTCCAGCCAAGCATAAGGGGGAAAATGGATGGAGGCGCATGCACGGGATGGTTATAATGACTTAGTCGCAGAGCTGGTGAGAGTCTCTGCCTCTCACAGGCATTGGTCAAGACTCAATCATATCATCAACCTTAGCTATAAGAGAGGCTAAGGAATATAGTCAAGTTGTATGACCAAAATCAGAGGAGAACATAAATTTTGGTGGACATTTAGCATCTCCACTGGGGAGAGGTTGTCCTGAAGAGACATTTTAGGATGTGAGAAAATACATGAGAAAAAAAAGCTTACAGGAGGAAAGGTTTATTTTGGCTGACAGTTTTCAGGGTTTCAGTTCATGGTCAGGTGACTCCACTGCTGTTGGGAGAAGAGCAGAACCAGAGAAGAATGAGCTGAGGACAAGATATAGTCTTCCAGGTCATGCTATGGCCTATTCTTTTCAACTAGGCCACACCTTCTAAGTTTTCATCACCTCCAATAAAGTCATCAAATTATGACTCTACCAATTGATTAGTCCACTGATGAAGCTGAAGCCCATATGCTCTAATCACTTTCCAAAGTTTCACCTCTGAGATTACTGTATCGTGGACTAAGTCTCCAACCCATGAGCCTTGGGGAGCATTTTAAATCCAAACCATATAATAAACTGTAGGAATCACTCCCAGAACAAGCAGAAATGATCCTTCCAGGTGACAGTTAGACATGCTAGCTGTATCTTCAAAGCCAGTCTCACCAATGCTCTATGGAAGATAAAGAAAAGGAATCTTTATCCATACTTAGGTAACAGTGATAAGGTAGAAGACTGCAGTTCTCCACTAGGTAACAGAGCAGTGATGGTGATAAATAGCAACAAACTCAAAGGAAAATGTGACTCTTGGTGCTAGAGTCCAGATTCCTAGTCTAGTTAGACTTCCCAAAGAGACATTTTCCTTTGTTTGCACCTTCAGGAGGTTCAGTGTTTTATTTTTATTACATATAAACACAGTTCTTTACAAGGATCCTCAGTCAGTTCAGTCAATAAATGGGAATTCTGTCAGATACCAGACACTGTGAGAATACAGACTTTTCTTGTTTGCATAGTTAATCACTTGGGAGTAACCCATATCTTCTGTGGGCCCCTAGTTTTCCTATGTCTGTCTTATGACCCTGTCACCATGCTTTAATTTTGTGCACAAGTGGGACAGTATGGCTGGTAGCTCCTCCCCCAGAGAGCTCTGTGCTTGGCATTGTCAGTAAGAAGCAGCCGTCAGCATACACTCAGAGGCTGCCAGTCAACTGGGTTGAAAACTCCTTCCTTATCCAGTGTTTTGTTTTTTATTGTTTCTTCTATAGTCTGCCCTCAGCTAAGGGTATTCAGAAATCTCATCCAAACCTCTAGCAACTCTCTTCTCTTTACACTTTTGACTGATGGTTTCATAAAGCCCCAGACAGTGGGGCAGCTTCCAGACTGCACAATTTCATTAGTCTCCTTGTCTATTCTGGGCAAGATAAGTAATGCTAGACAAATAGGGCAGCTGCTTCCACTGCCAAAGTCTTACGCAGCTGAGGCATGTGTCCTTTGCTTCATTGTTAGCTCTTCCTTTCCCAGCTGAGGCTTCTGACCTTGTTCCAAAGCCATGTTCTACCTAACTAACTGTTGAACATGATGTTGGCATCTCTGTTTAATTCCTTGTTTTGATCTCCCCTCCCCCAGGTGCCACTCGTTTTTACCAAGCCCTTTGTGTTTCCTTTGATGCCCAAATCCTAAATGCTTGATGACTCAGCTCTTAGTATTAGGCCTAAAATATTAGAGGGAAGCAGAGCAATAAACAAGGAGTAGAAATTAATCGAAGGCAGGTAGAATGGAACAGTCATTAGAAGGAAGGCCTAGGAAGTACTTTCAATGTTCTATGCTTGACATGGGTGAGAGGCGAAACTGGGGTGATGGTTTGGATTAAGGGAAACATGAAGAATTTCTTACTCAAACAGAAGACTTTTTTTTTTTTTTGCAGGGTCTCACTATGTGGTTCAGGATGGTCTTAAACTCACTCATATAACCCAAGCTGGCCTCAAACTCATTGCAATCTTCCTGCCTCAGCCTCCCAAGTGCTGGGATTACATGTGCCACCACACCTGGCAACAGAAGACATAGTTAGGTTAACCTTTTAGAGCTGAAGTGAAACACCAGTAATACGAACAAGAATCAGCAGCACTCTTTAACCTCCACGGAGAGAGGTTTGTCTCCTCCCTGGAGTCAGATGTACGGGTGTGTGTACGTCTCTATCTTGAGACATTTCTGCTTTAGGAATTACAAAGGGCTCAGGATCCATAAACAAGAAAGAACTACTAGATTAGAGGGCCCAGGTACCCTGCAGGTAGTCAAAACCATGAGAAAGATGAGATGACTGGAGAAAGACCCCTGGTGGGTGAAGAGCTTAATGTAAAACTGGTGTGAAATGAGGAGTTGTAGGGGATTAATGTTCGGCAGCTCTGTGCTGAAGTCTGGGGTCATACTTTAAATGTTCACATAGGAAATTAGACCTCATGCTGAAGAGTCTGAGAGAGCGTTTTTCTCCATGTCAGTAACACAGAGTGGAGAAAATGAAACCATAGGCCCACATTTCACAAGCTGAGTTTTATATTTTTCAAACTAATGTTCTACAAGAATGCAGCCTTGTTCTGATTTTCTGCTTCAGATCGTTCTTGCTCTAACCTTTGTTCTCCTTAGGAACACTTTGATTCACCCCCAGCAAAAGCCCAGGCTAAGATCAGAAGCACAGTAAACAACGACATTGCTATTTTCCTGAAGTACTAACACCTATGTCTGCTTCTGGTAGCAAAACTGCTGAGTTCTTGAGCAGAATGGACAGAGCGTTGCCACATAGAAGTGCCTGTCAACTTACTCCTCGTGACCCGCAGCCGTCGATATGGGTGAGTGGAATGTCACGCGGGCTGCTGTCTGGCACTTTTCACAGAGGTGTTTCGTGGCTGATGGTTAAGGCGACCGAGTGACTGGTGTATCACAGAATACTGGAACTCAGGGAAGACACTGGGTCTGAAGCTTTGACCCCAAATCTCTGAGCTAAAAAAAAAAGTACTAATAATGCTTGTAATTGTCACCTCCATTATGATCTTCTAAAAAGTCCTTGATTCACCCAGTCATCCTCAAACTCTTGTGTCAATGCAAAGTGTGGAAAAAAGCAGTTAATGTTTAGATAAAAGTATCTATTACAGTACAAGACCTATTGCCATTAATTTCCCTTAAAATGCTCCTCCTTGCTTTGAGTCCACTTATCCCATCGTTCCTGCCCCTTTCTGAAGCAGTTCTAAAAGTCCTCTTTTGTAAATGTTGCTTCATGGCTGCCTTGATATTCTTGATTCCATTCAGAACATTTATGGCAACTTCTGTCAAATAAAAACTTTATGGTGTGTCCTCACCCACCTTATATCTGATACCATGTGACTTCTGGCTCTTCCTGCAATACAAAAGGAGCATGAAAGATAAATATTTTGACTTGATTCAGGACATCAGGGCAGCCATAGTAGTATAACTAGACACTAATGAAAGTGGACTTCTGGAACTACTTCAGCAAACTGCAAAAACAGTGGCTTAAGTGTGTTTAAAGTGAGAGTATTTTGAGGGGGATTAATAGCAATGTGTCTTTTACTGTAATAAATTCTTAAAAATTTAAACATTTACTGGTTTTTTATCACACCTCATCAGGTGTACTAAATGGGTGTATTATCTGCTTTAAAGAACTGTAGTAGAGTGAGGGAGAAAGCCAGTAGCTAAAAAGCAAAGTGCTGAGTGTAGAGCATCTCACAGATAGAAAGCACCATTGCTTTCCCAGCAACGTGCATCTAATTCAGACTGTGTGTGTGTATACTTCCTAGTAGAGGTGACCCCAAGCCAAAGCTTAAAAGGTGAGTCAAAAAAGAGAGTTATTCCAGGTGTTAGAATCAGTGAAGACTCAAAAGCAAGAATTAAGATACAAAAGGGGAGAAAGCATGGTTTTGTTGGGGAAGAGGACTTACATAGCTGCAGTGGAAAAATGAGCTAAAGGGCTGGAGAAGTGGATAGGAACCATTGGAACCTTTCTTGGTGGTGATATTGCTGGCAATCTGCGTTGGTGGGCTGATTTATTGGGTAGCTTGTTTGGGGTACTGCAGGATGTTTACCATCCCTGCATGTATCAGTCAGGATTTACTAGAGAAACAGATATAATACAAAATAAACAAATGTATAAGAAATTATAAGTTTGGCTTATAACGGTCAGCTACAGAGTTGGAAGAGGAAGCATGCAGAGGGTGTCCGCACACTGGAGATTGAAGAGCCCAGCCCCGGGCCTGGAGCTCACTGCAGTGTCCATGCAAGTCTGTATCAAAGGGCTAATGGGTCTGTGACGGAATGCTGAAGGATCTACAATGAAGGCCGGAAAGCCAACACCGGAAGGCTGAAGAGTCCCAGGCAGAAGCCGAACAGTCTGTACCAGAAGCCTGGAGATGACCAAGCTGAAGGCGAAGACTGGAGCTCCTCCGAAGAACCAGCAGCCAGTCCTTTTTCAATTCCTTTTTTTACGCAGTCTACCCGCTCTGGGGGTGGGGGTGGTCCTTTACACCCACACCCTCCGCATGCCTGCCTCTTGCACAGGCTTAGTGCACCACAGGCACAAAAAGCTAGGAGCACTGCTCAAACACTGTGACATCTAGAAATGTCCCAAACAGGAAGCTGGTAGTGCTTCTGGTGTAAAAACCACTGGAGATATTTGCAAGTCTCATGGGGGAACTTGGAGCTCATTCTGTGAGTACTAAAGCTACTGGAAAGTAACAAAGGAAGGTTCAAGGTCAGATTTGTTTTTTCATGGGATCATAACTAGTCACCATTGGAAGGACAGATTTAAAGGGATAGAGGGACAGGGGCTGGGGATTTAGCTCAGCGGCAAAAGCGCCTGCCTCGCAAGCGCAAGGTCGTGAGTTCGGTTCCCGGTACCGGAGAAAAACCAAAACCAAAAACAAAAAAAAAAAAAAAAAAAAAAAATAAAGGGATAGAGGGACAGACAAGCCAGGAAGCCTTCTGGCCTAGTGTAGTGGAGGAGCCATGAAGACTTTAGGACCACAGGTAAGAGGATGGAGGTGAATGTGCAGGTCAGCGAACTGCTTAGAAGATGAAAAGGGTAGGGCTTGATTATTGACTGGCTAACTGGGGCCAAGAAAGTGTCATTAAAGGTGATCCTGGGAAAGTGTTGCAGTTAAGAGAAAAGATGGGCAGAGGTTTTAAAAAGTCTTAGCTTCTGTAGGGTTTGGGCAGAGAAATGCAGAGTTATTAGAGACACTTGATTTTCATTACCCTGCCAGCCTACTCCATGGTCATTCGGGACCACATTTTAAGATGTCAGGACAGTATGGCACCCTTAGAAAAAAGTCATTGTACCCCTACCAACAAACCTTTCGCTATTTCCCCTTGCCACTGGTGTGATGTTCCAAAGTCCAAATGTGTAAAGGTCATATCAACTGAAATCCGCCACCTCCTTCCCCTCTCTTCAGGGCTGTAGGGGAAGAACCAAGAAGCTATAGACAGTGAAGCTGCATCATATGTAGAGGCCCATCTTGAACGCCTAGTATCTGGGTGTCCTTGTGGCTGTGAAGAGCGAGGGAGACAGGAGCTGGCTAGCTTTACCAACTGTGTTTTTACCTGCCGGGGTAGTCTTGATTTCTGATTGAAGCCTTGTGCAGCCTATGATTTGAAACACCTGCAGAACTGTATGTGCTTGCTCTGTTGATTTTGGCTCATTTCTTCAATTTAACAAGATCATGCTGAATGTTAATGTGGTCATTCAAAGCGTTAGTAATGTCTTCCAGAAATTCATTTTCTGTGGATTGATTCATGCATTCATCACATGGTTCTCAGTGCTCTCAGTAGAAAAGATGTAGCAGGATTGGCCCCAGGATGGTTCCTTATGAACTGCATGCAATTGCCACTCTCATTTTGACACCAAACTATTAATAGGTTGTTGGTGTTCAATAAATTTAACTGACTTTTTACCCACATTACACTCTTCTGGTTCTGCTGATCTGTATGCATGGAATTCTTCTGAGAATGCTCTGCAGAACAATTTCTAATGCTCTGGGAAAATCAAATATGTAAGCTGCACTTCTGTGAAGCACAGTCCTCTGGTAAAAGAGAGCACTTGCAGTTTGGCTCAGCGTGGTCAAGGTATAGACTGTGAAATATCTGTGACTCTCACCTGTATGGAGAATGAGACACTAGAAGAATTTAAGGTGTTTACTTTTTTTCTAATTTTGATTATAGTACCTACAATTTTCCTGAAAAAAAATTTCTTTTTACACTTTTTAAGCTCTGAATGTGGACCTGCCATTGGCAAATGTGAACTTAATAGCTACTGTATACTTATATCAACGAAAACTTCAGTCAGAAGGTATTTGCAGAATTCCCTGCATATGAATCAATGAAGCATGTGGGACACACGTCGTGCCTTCCTCAGCCATTATCATTGAATATTTCCGGGTACATACAAGGTAGTTTCCAGAACTAGGTTTTCTTTCTCCTCTCGTTCTACAAAGAGTAACAATTTTTAAAAATCACATCCTGGTGGGGCCTGGTGGCAGAATTTTAATCTCAGCATACTGGGAAGCTGAGGCAGGAGGATCTCAAATTTGAGCCCAGACTGGGATACTTAGTGAAAACATTTATCAAAATAACTTTAAAAAGGGATGGAGATGGGATAGAGACAGCTCAGTATGAAGGCTGTGTTCAATTTCCAGCCCCCTCCTGTGTATCCTATTTATTTCAGTGCCCAGAATCATTTAGTGGATTCCTACATCCTCCTTAGCTTAGGTCCAGTGCCCTTTCTGCCCTCTGCCTGCCCCCGGCTCTCTCAATTCGCCTCTGACTGTGGGCCACAGCACAGACTGTGGCACCACAGGATTGGACAGAAATGCAGGTGAACCTGAGGTTCCCAGCAGACCCGGGAGTCAGAACCTGCTTCTCCTCATCTGTGGGTGCTCTGTGTGCACGTTAGTGTTCGAGGAAAGCGCTTCATGTCTTGTACTTTCCCAGCTCTGCACACTCCATGTGCTGTTGCCATTTTAATTTTTATCTATTTGTCACATGTTTGTTCTTTCTAGGAGATCTTTAAGAATTTTTGTGATGCTGGTTTGGTGGTCATGAGTTTCTTAGGGTACTCTTTGTCGTGGAAATACCTCATTTCTCCCTCAATTTTGAGACAGTTTTGCAGGATATACCAGTTTGGGCTGGAAGTTATTTTCTTATGGGGCCTGAAACACTTCACTCCAGGCTCACCTGGCCTTTAAGGTTTGTGTTGAGAAGTCTGCTGCAATTCTAATGGGCTTACTTTTAGAAGTGATTTGTTGCTTTTTCTCTAACAGCCTTTAAGATTCTGTTGGACTTCTGGGATTTTGTGCTGTGTTGTGGGGAGGTTATTTTCTGATTGTGGCTATTTAGGGTTCTATATGGCTCACTTATCTGTATTTTGTATCTTTTACAACTCTTCAAGCATTTCGCTCATCTTTGCATTTTCTTAGTTTCCTTTGAACATTTGACTGTCTTTTAGCTTTTGTGGCTGCTCTCCAAAATGTCTCCTGGTGCAAATTTCTACACGGTTTTCTCTTTTGTGCCTTTCAGAGAGCTTATCAATTCTGCCTCCCCCTGCTTAGACACCTCTCGCTTCTTGCCCTATACACATGCCTTGTTCTGCAGGCTGCTGCCCAGCAGTCATTCTGGGACTTTCCTTCAGCACCAAGGATTTCACCTGCCTCTGCACAATGGACCAACCTAGGGAGCTGCAAAAACCGCTGATGCCTAGGTTGTACCCTCAGAGCTGCTGCTGTGTTGTCACCTGGGCTTCAGATTTATTTTTTTTTATTGCTTTTTTTTTTTTTTTTT